TAAATCGGTAATTTCGGTCATTTAATGCAAGAAGTGCTTCCCGGGATAAGCGCAAATGTATTTGTGCATGTGAATGTGTACAAGACTTATTGGAAAGTATGTACATATGCATTGGAAGAAAAACGTCCGAAAGGAATAGCTTATTCTTCGATCGGAAACTTGCTCTTTGCTCGTCTCTCTCTCTCTCCATCTTCAATCAGTTTGCAGTGTTCTGTCTGCCCGGAATAACGCCTCCTCCGAACAAATTAGGAATAAATTTAATAGTTATTAAATGTATTTGTGCATGTGAATGTGTACAAGACTTATTGGAAAGTATGTACATATGCATTTGTACATTTGCAAATTAACTTATTTATCTTAAATTTGAACCAGAATTAATTGCGTGTTTTCTTTCCTTTCCGTTACATTGCAAATCATTCTCACGGAGAAGAGGAAGAAAAACGTCCGAAAGGAATAGCTTATTCTTCGATCGGAAACTTGCTCTTTGCTCGTCTCTCTCTCCATCTTCAATCAGTTTGCAGTGTTCTGTCTGCCCGGAATAACGCCTCCTCCGAACAAATTAGGAATAAATTTAATAGTTATTATTATGCTGCCGAATTGTGTCAAAAAGGCCGGTTTTTGTAGCTGCAAAACCTTTAGATTCAAATTTTCTTTAAATTCTGATTATTTCGTTCGCGTTTAAATCGGTAATTTCGGTCATTTAATGCAAGAGGTGCTCCCCGGGACAAGCGCAAATGTATTTGTGCATGTGAATGTGTACAAGATTTATTGGAAAGTATGTATGTATGTGTACATTTGCAAATGCATCAAAGCAAAATAGAAAACGAAGGTAAGTGACCCTGAATTAATTTTTGAATGTTTAATATTATTTTGAATATATTTTTTACATGATATGTACTTACATTATAATTATTTGTGAAATCACAAGGCACACATTTAGTTTTAAAAACCTGCACAGTAGCTTCTTTTTTATACCCTTGCAGATGGTATTATAATTTCAGTCAGAAGTTTGCAACGCAGTGAAGGAGAGTCGATCTAGCCTTGTCCGTCTGTCCTTCTGTTCGTCTGTCCGTCCGTTTCTACGCAAACTAGTCTCTTAGTTTTAATCCATCTGCATGAAACTTTCCCAAAAGTTGTCTTTCTTTTGCAGGTAGTACATAAGTTGGAACGAGCCGGATCGAACAACGATAGCATATAGCTCCCATAGAAAAAATCGGAAAAATAAATGAAAAAATTATAAGTTTGCTGTTTCCTAATTTTTTTTTTAGTTTTTCGAAATATAGTAATGGTTAAATATTTTAAAATTACGGTTTAAATGTCATTAAAATCGGACGACTATAACATAAAGCATCCATTGAAACAACTTTTTTATAATTTTTTTTTTTTAATTCTTTTTGACTTATTAATAATTATACAGTTCAGAATTACGCTTTTAATTTTATTAAAAGCGGAAAACGAAATCATATAGCTGTCATGAGAACTATCGAATAATTGAGCTGCAAATCATCATAGCTTCAATGTTTTTAATCATATACGCAAGTAAATTAGATTTTTAAGTTTTCAAGAATATTTAATTTTTGCAATAGCTGCAAGGGTATATGAACTTCGGATTGCCGAAGTTTGCTTTCTTTCTTGTTTTTGTATAATATAACCACTAAAGTATCTAGTAATTTATGCTAGAAACGGCACCGCAATGAAATGGGCGGATCACTGAATACTTACTGAGGCCCGTTAAAACTAATTAAGAAACATTTAAAGGGGTTCAATGTAAATGGACAACGGGAAGAAGGGAAAAAAAAGAATAGTTATAATCAAAATTCGGCTGCAAAAGGAACGTAATCATCGAAATCGAAAGAATCCTCCTACATCGGGCCAAAGTGAAATAAAACTAATTTAAATAACAATGCATACAAATACTTGATCAAAACAAATCCCAGATGAACGGCCACGGCGGCCAGAACGAAAGAGAAGGAGAGAGAAGTCGGTTAAAGTGTGATAATACGTTAATAAAATATTTTGTAACTAATCAACACGAACGAACGACGGACTCGGGGGGCGCACCAGTGCGTCGAGTCGGCGGAAAACATACGAAAGTCGGACCGAAACGATCCGGCCTACAATGAGATCAAACAGAACGCTCCAGGACACCCTGGAGGGCATTAAAGAAACCGCTCCAGATCGGTGCATTTGAAGTCAAAGCGATGCTTTTGTTACGTTGACACTTTTTTCGGGCATGAACGATTTTAATGGGTTTTCGAGTCGAACAAATGAGCCAACCACTGGATCGAGCCATATGTGTGAGATAAGGGACAGCTCCGAAGTCCCGAAATCGGTGCTGCGGGTTAGAGACCGCACATGCAAGGATAGGGTATTTTTGCGCAATCACCGCCGAGATGCCTCCCTCGCCATGCTGTCATTTGTCATATGACCCTGCAGGAATGCTCCTCACCTCTCCTCTCTTCTTCTGACATCCCGTTGCGAATCATTAGAGGAGGTGTGAACTCCCATGACAGGATTGCCTTCGTCCTTCGGTTGCCAATTTGTGTTACTGTTTTTGCAAATAATTGAACATGTTTGTGTTTGTGGCCCAGGATTAGCCCTTGCAATGCTGCCGCATTGTCTGGTCCTAGGCTCTTGGGTTGGGGGAGACTATTTTGTAAATATCGCCAGACATTCCCACGGCGGCCTCTCTTGATGCCTTTGTCGTGGCCACTAATTGCCACAAGTGTTCTGTTCGGCTTTTTTCTTTCTCCGTTGACTTCTTGTCGGTGTTTTGCCATTTGATTTTATTGTGTTGGGTCACTTTCTTTCTTTTAGTGGGCCGATCGAACAAAATAAAAAAAAAACGCACGAGTATTTATCAGTCAAGGTTTAGCACTCCGAATAGACAGCTTGGCTATTGTCATTCAGTTCGGCGGAGGCGTGCTAAGCGCTTAGCGGTGTGTTTGTTGTCTGTCCGGGGAGCAATGCCGCTCAAGTCGGAGATTACGAAGAAGTCAAGTGCGAATACCAAATAATATACAATGAGTCTTTAGGAGTTTTCGCTGCGATTATATATGCTTCCTTTTTTCGGAAAACGGCTCAAAAGCCGAATTATAATTAGGTTCGTCTGATGTCTCACCTCCTCACCTTTTATTTTCTAAAACTTTTGGCTGAGGATCTCCATCCGCATTTCTCGACTGCTCTTAGTAACGACTTTATTCGACTCATTTGGTCGGTTTTTTTCAAATATTATTCACTGGTTTTGACCAAAAATTATAACAGCATTATTGTCACCTGACTTATTTCAGTAGCCCCCACACAATTTCTCTTTCTTTTTTTCTTTGGGTATATTCAGCTATTATTGGGTATTTTATATTTTTCCATCGATTTTTCGGTATTTGCGCGATCAAAGCGAGCCGCCGGGAAACACAGTCTGCGACACTGGGGCTTTGTGGCCAGAGCAGGGGAAGCTCTGGATGGGGCTGGGAAAGAGACGCGAGTAGGAAAAAGCGACGGACGCAGACATGATCGTGGAGGCTGACTGAGTCAGTTGTATAAGTTGTTCAAAATCCAAATCAAACGAAATTATACGCGAAACAAAGGATGAAGAAACATATTTAATAATGAATAATTTTATTTTCGGCCTCTGTAGGTGAGGGCCAGGAATCATTCAGTCGCCGGCAAAGAACGCGTTGATTACAGGCAACGGCACCGATTTTGTTATCCCAGGTCCCAAGTGCCAGATCCCAAAGATTCCAGCACAGCTGGGGTCTGGCCAGTTGCACTTGGGATGTGTCTCTGCGGAGTGTTTCCGATTGAAGTTGCTGCTGCTTCTGCTGGCCAGCTATAATAACGATGCCGGGCATTGACTGTATGTGGGCACGGAGATTTGTTGGGGGGCGAGGAATCAATGATGATGGGAGGGCGTGTGCTTATTATACGCTTCGACAACATAATGATTACCCTTGTGTCAGGGCTGTGTAGATTATGCTTAGTATGTTTTTTATGTTTGTACTATTCCGACAACAGTTAAATAGCTCAAGAACACAGGTGCCTTACGGAAACTTAAAAGGGTGGGATGGGGATCGAAGTCTATTTTGCATTTGGGTCCTCCCTTTAGCATTTCACCTGTGAGGGCCATTTTTACAGAGCGCTTAGGAACTCCTTCATAGAAAGCAAACAATAGGGCAAATGACTTTCCTTTAAGGCCACTGGACCTGAGTCATTGTTGGCTTGTACGCATTTAACTTCAAGGTGACATCACAGGGAACCCCCTTGGGGCTATTGTGAGTCGGGTTTCTGTTTTGACGCATGAGGTCGGCAAATAACAGAGTCGGAAAAATTAGCAATTGCAAATAGGAGAACATATAAAAGTAGTTTGGAAATCGGCTTTAATTAAAAACGCGAAGTACGGGGCAGAGCGCGACCTATGATGCTGTGAGAGAATATACAAAACAAATTTCTACTCAATTTCCCAAACGCATATGCGAGTGGAATAACAAGTTCTTTGGCTGAACGACCACCGCTTTGACTCCGTCGGTCGTTTATCGAATGACTATGCATATTTAGCATGATTATTGGCTCCGATCATTGGACAAAGGCGGAGGCACTACGGATCTCACGCAAGGCATTGGAAAACAGGGTTATTAGCTGGGACTGGGATGTGGCAAGAGAATCTTCGGACTTGTGTACTTTTTATTCTCAGGTGTCATCATCTACACCTATTTCGGCTGTGTATCGCCAACAAGCCATCGAGATCGTTATCGTATGGTCAGCAAGATCCATTGTAGTCTTTTCTTTCTCCTTCCGAGCGGCTTTTATTTAAGTTTAAGTCGCTAGTTCTAAGACGATCAAAGCCTTGTTGCCGACACCAGTTTGTTGAATTGAGCTACAAATGATTTGATGATGATTTTCCGAAATTATCAAATAAATGATCGGTGATTTTCACAGCAAGATTCCCGTGCCCCTTCCCAAAGAGGTTTCTCTTTTGCCTATCGTGGTAATCTGGTTTTTCTTACCTCCAAGAATTCCATGTATAGTATAGTCCTTCCGACCATCTTCGCTGCCTCGATCGTTACCTCGCAATAACCGACTGATCGATGACGTTGACGGGGGATCCGCAAAGCCCTCCTGTATTTATGGAATAAATAGAAAGTCATCCAATTAGAAATCTAGTTATGATTCGGGTTATATTTAATGTTAATTATAGTGGATTCGGATTCGTAGCTAATAAATAACTAATTCAAATTAAGATAAGGCGGGGGACCAATATATATTTTTCGTGGCTACTGTTGGTTTTCTGAAGAATGGGGGACGGCTTTTATGGAAACCAAGCACTAGAAAGCTCTGACACTAATGCTACAGTCGTCGGTCAGCCTTTGTGTTTGGACAATTTTTATGTAGATGTCTTTGGGGTAGGCCCTCTTCCTCTCTCAACAACTTTGTCTGGTAATCCAATTAGGAAAATGTCATGTCGAGAGTTAGGCCATGTATGAAAATTTATCTCCAACTGTGCGCTTGCCCTGTGATTGTGACGCGTGTTGTGTTAAGAGACAAGTGCTGAGACTGAACAGAATTGAGAAAGAAAACCGGTGCGGAAATGGAAAACAAATTGCGGAAAATGGCCAGTGTGAAGATAATCTTCCACATGCAAAGTAAGGCTTTACTTTGGACGGCACAAAAGTAAAGAGCGTATATTTTTCAGAAGGATATATATATTTTAATTGCGCTATATTTTTATAATTTCAATATTAAATCACTTATCCAATCCCGAAATCAATACCAAAAGACGTTTCCTATGGTAAGGAATAAAACTGTCAGTTTTCATTAGAGCGACATGTCGACTTCAAACTAATCGCTGCACAACGAAGTGCAACTGTGCGACGCAGCGTCATGTCTGGCAGTGAAATCCCAGCTCTGGAGGCTGGCTCTTGGTGGCCGAAGTGTGACCCAGCAATACAGTACTCGTCTGTCCGGTGGCCGGGTGTCAGTTCGCTGCTCAAATGGAGTGGCATGTGCCGCAAACATTTTCATGATTAATAATTTTAATTTTCAGTAACGAAATTATCGTGGTGGGGATACCCCGATACCCCGACTCTTTGGGCTGTGGTAAATTTTAATTCCTCGGCTAACAAAGGTGAGATAACTGGCACCTCATAGACAGGACGTGGACCAGACCAGACGAGACAAGACAAGACGCCGGGCACGGAAACCGAAACTGACATTTTGTCCAGTCGCGATTAAATGCTGTGTGTGCTGCCCCGGGCTAACTGGTGTCGGTCTTCTGGCTCCTATTTCTATTGAATGTGTCATGGAGACAACAACAGAAATATGTTTTGATTTTCAACTGGACTGTGTTGCGCTATTTATGACTTGTGCTGGGGCTGGCTCTGGGACTCTGACTGGGGCCTACCATACCGGTTGTTCCGTTGGAATGTGTGACGGCTTATCTTGAGGCAACTGACAACTGGAACCCAATTCCAATCCCGAATCCAAACCCCAAGCAAAACTGATCTCGGTCGGGCCCCCGACTGCGAGATACATTTTTGCCTTCGCCTTGGTTCTGGCTTAACAATTTCAATTGAAATTTAATTAATTAGTTGACAGTTGTATTGACGCTTGACTGCGCTTTATACTCGAACCATGTTCTTTGCATATATGTATTTTGTCTACCGCTGCATATCGCTGTGCTAGCTTTTTGTTTGAGTGACAGGTGCGTTCTGTGTTCCTAAATATTTCGATTTCTGGAAATCAAACAGTTTGTCAGCGGGTAATAATAATTTTGAGACTTAAATCTCGAAGGTCCATTCCCAATTAGTGTGAGCCTAATCCAATCCAAAGATACACCGCCACCGAGCAAGCTTCATTTGTAGAGGAGGAACAGTTGCACCCAGGAATAAAACCGAACCAGGAGAGATGTCCGAAGCGTATTCTAATTAAGCGTGATGCGCACCTAGAGGTAGTTAAAAGCTCACTGCTAGACCAAGATTCGAGTTAAATTAATTATTCTTCTTTCACATTTTTTTTATATCATGAGAGTTTACCCCTTGCATTATACAACACACAGTCAGCGCTTATTATCAATTCAATTCTTTAATTAACAAATTCATACTTAGTTTTTTTTTCTGTGCACATATGTACAGAGTGAGCATCGTACAGACACGGTCTGAAAAGATACCAACTCTGATCCGTTGGCCGATCGTATCGATGGTCGCTCGAAACGTATCGCCACATAAAGTGTGGCTAATTGCGGCTTCAAATAAAGAGCGAGACGAGAGCCGCCAAAAGAGGCTGGCGCATGAATACACGAATACTCCAGTGAATCTTTCGCCTCCTATGCAATAACGCCGACAGGGGAAAACAAGTACTTCAACACAGCCGTCACAGGCCAGACGTAGATCAGAGGAGCTGCCCCGGTTAGTGGGCAGTAATCCGAAATCGATGGTTTACCGCAGTGAATAAGCCATATGGGCGTAGGTTCAGACATAAGCTAGCATAAAACTTCTTCGAACTTAACGTTTCCGTCCATATTAAGGTGTGTATATGTGTGATCATCTTTTTTAAAGTTAAGAAATTTGGGAAAAATTTAAATTTTTGTGAGGCAACATATTAAAACAGATATGGGTGGCGAAATGTGTTAAAATAAATAAACAAATGTTTTATCAACACGTTCGATTGACATACCCGTCCCAATTACTTTTGCCTTATTTTTCTTACGCCCTAAAAATGCATGCCAAACAGGAAGTTTGAAGCAATGTCCTAAAGGCAAAAGACATAAATATATTATCTTTTTGCACCTTGTCGCCTCAAGGATAAAACACAATCGATGCCGACAAGAAAACCGACAACGGCAGTGTCAGCCGACTCTTTATGGTTTAATCGATTTCTTAACGGTTTGGGTGGCAAGCGACAATTTGTCGCCGCCGTTGTACAACAAATTTGTCAATGAGCGGCCAAGTTCAAAATAGGTCCTTGGGCTGTTTTGGCCACCTGGGCAACAACCAAGCCGGCATATGCAAACGGCCTTTAGGTTTCGTCGGCAACGTGTCATAACAAAGCCAGCGGGCGGCCCGAGTCGGCCACGTGACTTTTCGGAAAACGGAAGTAAACTGATTCGCATTTGGGCCCTGTGTGTCAAATAATGGCATGCGGTAAGACTACCGATGGGCTGGAAATGTCCTTGCATCCTTTGTTTTGGCACATTTTATTGCTTCCTGCAGTCTTGCAGGTGCTCATCGCTACTTACCTTGATCAGCTTCTCGCGTATCTCCCAACTAAATATGCCGGGGTTTTCCTTTCGCAGCTCATCGATCCGCGTTTCAATCTCGGGCGAGGTTACCTTGGGCTTAGATCCACCTATTACACCGGGTCTAATGGAGCCCGTCTCCTGGTATCGGTTTAGAATCTTTGATACGCAGCCGTGGGAGACGCGCAGCTGGCGCGAGATCACACAGGGCCGAACTCCACTAGCCGCCATTTCCACGATCTTAAGGCGAATGTGATTGGGCAGCGGGCGACCATTGATAAAAACGCCTCCGAGCTGGTTAACGCGACCTTGTCCTGTGAGCGAGTGAGATCAAATACAAAAAACATTTTGTTAAAGCGACAAAGGCTCATAAACAAACCCATAATTTGTGATAATAAAACTAAAATATTTTGTTTAAGTTGACAGTTTTGTAGCTAACCTTGAAAGGGATACCCCGCGAATAGAGGCCGCAACGAGTTGGCGCTGGACATATCCATTGTCCGAATACACTTTACTTATTAATAGCTTAAAACCTAAAATAACGCTGCACCGTAGAACAAATTTGCTTTGGTTTTAAAGTAGTGCATCAGAGTCGATACAATTGCACAATTATGATTTAAACTCTAGAGCTCAGAGGCAGTACATATGAGCGACAGATCACTTAGAAAATGGCCCAAAAGCTCCACTTCATCACTGCGAAGCCTGCGACGAGCGGCTTTCGATTCCGTTTCCGATTCCGACGGAATTTTGCAACTCCCAACCCGGTGGTGAGGCTGCGGGAAATTTTCTTGGAACTACGCGCGCTTTGGCGATCAAACAGCACGAGACTTGCAAAGCAACTAAAGAGAAGCGCGAGCATAAATTAAAGAGGGCCGGCCGGTCCGGGCGATGACGACGACTACTCCGCAGACGAATGAACAATGAGATCGCTCCATAAACTGGTTTCCGTGTCGAGCCACCACCACCGAGATGGAGATGCTGGCAGGAGGGAGAGTGAGAGCAGCTTTCGCGTCCGCCCTTTCAGTGGTTGATGCCGGATAGAGCGCCACAGCCGTATACAATATGGCAACGATCAAAACTTCGTTGCCGGACTGAGAGCGAGTCGCTGGTGAGCGAACCGACCGCGCTTTAATCGAGGCAATGCCACGCCTCGAAAGACCTCTGATTGGCTGAGCTCGCTTAGGGCGGTTTGGTTCTCAGCTGGCCCTGGCCCGACGTTTGATATTGCAACGCATCCATAATATATCCGCATATCAACCCCCTCCTACTCTCGCCTGATCACTCTGGGTGTGCAGCTGTCCCCGAACATTTTGAATGAATTGTGTGACTTTTATTTTGTCGCTGGCAGCCAATTAAACCGAAACCGTGAAGGCTTCCGTCGGCACAGGACACAGGACACAGACCGAGGACCGAGACCAAGACCAAGCCGAACACCATTACTCACACCAGAACGCATTATCAATCGTTCCGGTTTTGGCATTTTTAGCACCCACAGTTGCGTGCCGTGTGCTCCCAGTGTATGTTTATCCCATTCTCACACTTCCACTACTATTTTCTTCTCCCTTGGCCAGCTTCTAGTTAGGCTAGTTCTTTGTCGTGCAAGTTTATGGGGTCCGGGTTTCCTTTAGCTTCTTGGCGTATCCTCCCTTGGCGACATACACAATGTCAGTTAATGCTTGCTTACGCCGATGAAATCGTGTCAAGGTTTGCGGTAGTTTTCCTTATTTCTTCTCAGTTGCCAGGAGAAGCTGCAATTGATTAATGAAATGTAGTGTAACAATGACCCCTCATGTGGATTAGCTTCAAGCTCATTAGCTGGTTCCGTGATTGACGGTTTACGACGGACCAAACAGAGCGATTTCAAAGCTACTCGTTATTCCAATCTAGAACCTTCTGCCCTGAACTGGGAAAGTCAATTACCAATATACAAACATAAAAATCTATTAACAGCCATTAACGGCAAACGAAGTCACACCTGGCAAAGTCTTGACGGTATGCAGTTTAGAAAAATTGAAAAACCAACGAACAAAAGCGAAAATAGCGAAAGGACATAATCATAATATAAAGAATTAAGCGTGAAGTTTACGCATATTAAGGATGCGCACATGCCGCCTGCATCTGGCTTCCAACGAGGCAGAAGGGGACAGGGGATGAACTCGAACCGAAAATGGCTGCTTCGCCTTTTGTGCGAGTATGAAAGTGTACTCGTGGTAGCAGGCCGCATGCAAATCTCTTATCTATAAAAATATCTAAACATCCTTCGGTCCAGAACTGAATTGAGCGGAATGAGCTGGCAGGCTGATGAAATATGCTGGGTACTACAAAGTAGGACTTAGCTGTTACGCCGACCTGGAGTCTCTACAATAATCACCATAAAAATCGATCCTAATGAAGCGTTATGCAAGGACCCAGTGCTGCCAGGCACTTGAGTGCACTAGTATGCCTCATCTACGACAGCAATGCAAATGAGCCTAAGAGGACATGCCCGTCCAAGGCATTAATTGATTGCGTCCTCGCCCATTTCCGTGCTCAGGCCGAAACCACAAGCATTTGGTCACGATAAACATGACAAATTTCCTAATTTGCGTATTGACAGTTTTCAATTAGCGGAGTTCCTCAAGCGTGCCAGCGACCGCTTTAAAACTTTTAATAATCAGAAAGTGCCAACAAATTTCTAAGGACCCTGTAATACGGAAACGCGCCATTAAATGTGGTGTGGCATGTTGGCTTCTTGTTTTTGATATAAGGGCACTTTATGTGCTCGCGATTCTAAGGTTCCGTCGTTTGATCCAGCTTGTTCCGACTTATACACTACGTGCAATACGAAGACAACTTTTGGGAAAGTTTCATACAGATAGCATTAAAACTGAGAGACTAGTTAGACGGACGGTCAGACAGTCGGGACCGTCGGGTATGCCTAGATCGACTCTCGTAGTGATGCTGATCAAGAATATATATACTTTATATGGTCGGAAATGTCTCCTTCACTGCGTTACAAACTGTTGACCGAAAACGAAGAAAATAAAAACGTGTTGAGACTTCAATTTACACTCTTTGGGATACTTTCCAGTTAATATGTCGTCAACAAAGCCCCCCAATTAGCGTCTAATAAACGATATTCCAAAATCAATGACTATGGCTGTAAGAATGCATTGGATCCTTGAAAGGCTTTGGTCCATGTGCCACGCTATTGGCAGGATTTTATGAACGCCGTAAATTGTGTGCCTAAATTCTAAGGATTGCCGTCTTCTGAATCAGAGCATATGTTGGCCACACTGCAGACCCAAGATTTAGAGTGGGCTGTAAATTTTGTCGCCAGGGAGCGCATACATAAAACTTGTTCTATAGATCATTATAAGAGGCAGTAAAAGGCAAATGTGAGTAAAGTCAACTTCATTCAAACTCACAAGATTGTAAACCTCCTTAGAAACTATTAACAAAAGGGGGGGTTGGGGGCGTAAAGGTTCTTCAAAGTTATTATCATCGACTCGTATGAATAGGATGAGGCTTTCCAGAATCCAGTCGTCTACCATCTGGCGTGTACTGAGGCCAAGGACTACCGTATCCCGAACGAGTAGCTAAATGTCCCAGACCATTGCCCGCCACTTGCTGTGCCTCCGTCCTGGGCGGCACCCTGCGTAGTGACACCTCCGCAATCCTTGCCCTGCCACTGGGTCTGGCCAGTCCGGCGGGACCAACGACGGCGTTTGTTTGCCTTGCAAATTTAGCATGAAGGAGTGAAAACTGTTTGACAACTGTCTTTTATGTGTGAGAGTGCGAGAGCGTGTGTGTGCCTAATTTTCACTTGTCCTCCTCTTTGGCCTGGTCCAGATGGACGAGCGATCTGTCATAAGCGATTGTTCAATATTTGTCGGCTCGCCAGTTTGTTTGTTTTGCTTCCGTTCGACCGTCAGCTACTGATACTACTTTTTTTTTTACTGTGTGCCTAATTTCAGAGTTCCTGCGCATCTGTTGACAGTTTTTCTAACGGAGTTTTGATGGATCAGTTAGAGGAACCTCATTATTTGGCAGTACCCAAGTGGGAGAGTTTTTTGATTGGTTGTTCCAGGAAGGAGGAAATGGTAGTTGCTTAAAGAGGTGAGGAGAAGAAGAGATATACCAAAACAAAGAGTCCTAAAAAGACACTTGAATAGGAAACTATTTTAATTTCATGCAAAAAAATCGTTTTGAGAGTTTTGTGTCTTGTGAATGCAGAGAGACTCGTAAAAGCCAACTTTGAGCAGTGCAAAAAAGACATCTTCAGCCGACTTTGATGGATCCGCGGGTCCAGGAAGGTTTAGCGTGTTTCGCTTAAATGAAGTACCAAAAACTCAATTTATTTGCAATTAAATTGTGAAACCAAACTGCACGGGACCGACCTCGGCATTTGCATTGTCCAGCCGAAACAGACCTCTCACTCGCTCGCACCCTAGCTGCGTCCTTTTCCCAGTTGCAAGTGCGTGGCTGCGGCGCGAGCTTTGATCTTGCCCCGTTCACACGCATGGCCTTTCCACTCCACTCCACTCCCATGCCCCGCCCCGACTCGCTTCTCGCCAGCACTTATCAGCATCTCATTTGAGCGCTAAGGCGCTCCGACGTGGGCCAACCCGGGACTGCGACTGGGCTATATGTCATTGTAACATAAAAGTTCAATTTTAATTGCTGCGCTTGACGTGCTCAAGGTATTTGGCTTGGCATTTTTACGATCACTTTGGCAAATGTGCGCTTCAAAGCCATTTCAGTCAGCAGCCCGCCGAACTCCAAGCTTGAAGCGCACGGATCTCCGACCGACTTTTGTCGGCCACTTTGTCCAGTCACTGCAGTCACTGCAGACACCGCAGACTCATCCCGTCCGTCCTCGGAAACTCTGTGTCAAGTCGTAAAAAACCTCAGCATCAGCGTCAGACCAAGTTGTCGTGGCCGCTGTCGAGCATGGATTTTACATATGCTCATTTGTTTATATGACTGAGGCATGGAGCTGGCTCAGATTGGCACTCAACCTAAACGATTACAAATCCGTAACTCATTTCGCCTCGAAGTGCAACCTTCACCGAAATTTCGAGTTTGTGTAAGTTTTGTGCGGAACAATTTTGAAGACTCGTGTGAAGATTAACACGACTTCAGTAGGAAATCCATTTTTTTATTGCCTCGACTTTTCCACCAATTTCTTTCAGTGCATTCAGTATATCTCTCGCATCAATAACATAAATTTAAAACTCACCCGAAAAGGAAACCCCCAGCGGCATTTGCTTTGAGCAAATGGCTTGCTCCTTCGCCCAGGGTCCCGTAATCGTAATCCCACTGTCAAAATTTCTTGTCCACAAAAACTGCAGACTGCGTGTCGTCTCCCACGTGGCGGGGCGAGCTCTTGGCAGGGAGCAATTTGTTTGCGCTCAGCGTCGAAAGGCAAGGGGCGTTCTTTCGCCAGCAGTTCGTTATAATTTATTTAATGGCTAGCGGAGGGCTACTCCGCCTGCCTGCCGTGCACCGTGTTGAGTAATTTGCTAAACATGCAACCGCCAATCGATGGAGCAGGACTGGGCATATTTATGGGCCGAGAGTATTGTATTGTCTGGGTGTTTATCGCTGGGCATTGACAGTAAAACGGGCTTATAGGCTGCCGAATGTGTTTTTAAATAGTGCATGCTAAATCAAAGATCTGTGGCTGACCGCCAACTGGCTATTTCCGGCGAAAATCGCATTAAGTCCTGGTAGATAACTAAATTACCGCAAACACACCGACCACAAGCGTCATAATTGCGGTGAGTCTGACGAGGGGCTGGCTGGGCGGACTTATGACTATGACCGTCAAGGACGAGACAGCAAGGACACCGCCGCGTACTAACAAACCATTAACACCAGAACCGCAAATTGACAACTATCCGAGATGCTGCACCAACTAGTGCGACTACCTGTTGTCGGCGGTAGGTCCTGCCGCTGCATTGCCATCTTCCTCTTTATGTCGCATGTTTAGAGTCCATTACAAATCGAGAGTGATACGCTCCGTCCCTGTCCCCCTGGTGACTCTGAGTCTAGACCTGGCCAGACCGAAACTCCCGGAGGTCGCTGCGACGGGCTTTGTTAGGCCGGGTTTTGTTTCCCGCTTCACGGACTTGTCCAGTCAAATAGACTTGTCAAACTGTGCCAATGATCGATTTGACACGCCAACTTAGTCAACTTCTAGCTGCCTATATCCTGCGCTGGCGTTGCCAATCGCTTTAGCAGCGCTTTTTGGCCTAAACGCACAAATAGAAATAGGAATATCTACAAGGAATCCGGAAGATACACATCTGCTCGTAGGCAAGTGGGCGTCGTCACGACAGCCGAAAAAGGTGTTGCCAAATTATGCTAATTAAATTAGTGGTTAAAGGTGGGAACAGTAACGCGCTGTTTTTGTGGGCTTTATCTAAAACTCAAAATTAGCATAAAGCGATGATAATCAATGATAATGGAGTTGATGATATCTAATGTGTTAATCGACCTAATGACGCTTAATTTTAGACGCCCACTAAAGACAGTAAAATATTTCTAGATTAACAAATCAAATTTTAATGTTGACGGCAAAGTATGTGCAGAATTGATTTTCGGAAATATCAAGTTCTCGTAAATATTAATGATCTCTCAAGATAAAATGAAATATAAAATTTAATAACGATTACAGAAAGTTTCGCTGAACAAAGTAGGCGGCAAGTTCAAAACCTGTTCAATAATAATCTTCGATTCCAGAAACATAACGTCAATTAAATGCAAAAATGGCGGAACTAATCGAAATCTAATTAAATCAACGAAAGATAACATGCAGCTCAATTTTTCACAGCCGCCGAAATAAAACAATCCGCTCAAAAACCCAGCCATATAAGCTAGAAAAGTCGGCACGAGTCGGTACACTTGGCTTAACGGGAAATGGATGCCACAATTATGGTCGCAGGGATTTCGAAGCAACAACTTCCCACTTTGACATGTGCCGACTGACGAACCGATTCAACTGGGAATAATTGAAAATCACGCAGGCCAATTGCCACTTTTGAGAAAATCAACAAAAAATCGAATTGTATCCAATCGATTTTGAGATGCAACATCAAGAAATGCGTTTTTAATAAAAGGTCGAACTACGAGCACAAATTTTTGTGTTGATTTTAGGAGCTGTACAGAGTAAGCCTCTGAATAATTATTTATTTTCCGTTTTCACATGGTACTGCGTACAAGATTTTAGAAGATTGGTGGAGGTCTCGGCGCAGAACTAAAACCCATTTCGAATGCATTTATACTATGGTAAATAAATCAAAGCTGGAAAACAGTGCACGGGGAAAGAGAAAATTCCTGCCTATGTGGATTATTTATGTTCTGTGGCAACAGCTTATAGGTATGGCCCGGTTCGTCATATGCATCATCATCAAAGGATTGAGTGCGGTTAGTGATTATTTCGTCTCCGATACTTCGGGGATTTCTTTCTTGCGGTATCTGGTTAGGGGCTGTACATGCTAATATTTCAATGTCAAATTAGTTCTAATCATAATGTGATACTAAATGAATTATTTTCCACGCGGACAACGCTGCGGATGGAATGAGATGGAATTGAAGTGGATCGAAAAAGCATTTATTCAAGAAAGCTTATCGGCTGGCAGCTCATATTGGCCTGAGAGTCATTTCGATGAAAATCTTTCCCTCCGCAAGAATGAGTAGATTATGACGGTCAAAACCCTTCTACTGAATAGCATAGCCGGGCGTAATAATTATGATCATTGACATCGCACCTCTCGCATCTCGCATCTCACGGTCGCGCAGGTGCTAAACTAATTTTATGGCTTGACGCCATTCAACACGAAATGCCGAGTCCATGTGGTGGAAGCACAGGAGTTCGTCCTAATATAACTATTAGAGGCGAACGGAGTGCTAATCAAGGATCAGCTCAAAATTAACAGGAATTCGATAAACGAAGGCGCTACGCCGGGACCAATTAAGCTGGCCTCAATCTTCATCACGATTATTTTCGACGTTTCGTCTCCATTCGCTTTTGGTTTTGAAAAATCCTTACATTTCAGCGACTGTGACCGAATCCCAAACTCATTATTTACGCCGAAACGCCGACGCGGGCTGTTACAATTCACACATCGATAATAGCGGTCCATGCAAGCGGCTTGGGTGTCCTCCCCTAACTCATATCACCCCACTCCAATTTTCTGTTCACACTCTTGCCGACAAAGCGCCGCAAACAGAGCTGCGCGGAATGAAAGAGAAACCGCAGATCATGCACACAATAGCCTCCTTTGTCCAGCCATCCAAAGTCAAGGAGTCCTTAGGCCCTGAGAACGGGACATCCTTTTGCCTTATCATCCAGGAGATGATGTCGTGGCCGCCCGAACAACACTCCTGATTGGCTGGTACATCCTCCGGGCTGCCTGCACAATTAGTCGATTTTGTTCTCAAATCCGCCAACTGGCCTTCCACGTTTTCGGGGGCGGCCTCCGATCACACATTATTAATTCGTTTTTAACCGTTCCGAAGGAGTGATATATTTGTACATATTACTCTTCTCACCTTGGCGGCCAACTGTCAGAGCTGTTCGCTCGATCCTCCGCTGCCAAGTAGCCGCCTTAATTAATCATCTCCCGACTCAGGCCGTTCAGGGATTTTAGTTTGGAGCCATTTGTTGGCTTTAAAGCGCCAAGCCGCCCCTTTGTGGTAACATTTGCTGTGTAAACAGTTGTGGTTGAGTTTTAATTTAGTTTTCTTGTTTCAGCGCTTTGCTCTTGCCAGTGCCCCAGCAGCTGTTGTTGTTGCCTGCGGCGAGCGGATGCTATAGGGCCTCTGCCCTTTTAGCTAAGCTGACATATGGGCGTTAGTGGTTATTTTTCAGTTGTATTTATTGGGAGCGTTTTGGAAATCATTAGTCCAGTATTTTAGAGAACTCTTCATTGCACACTACTACGTCTATGATAAATTATTTCTGACGAGAAAAGGCGTCCGGTTAGCAAACTGTATCAGCACAGTAGAGAAGCTTTGTTGGAATTACCTATATCTTCCGTTTGAATGAAAGAAATTGAATTCCACAGCATTTTAATGCCATCATTCAAGTCAATTTTATTTTTCTGTGCAGCTTGACAGCTTGGAAAATACATTGCCTTTATCCCGAAGTTCCTTCTGTCTGCGGTTGGCTTACAACATATATTAAAAATTCCCACAAAAATTCCCAAGTCAACGAGTGAAAAGTATTTCTCCATCTGAGTCTGAGGCGGTTCAGACTATGTATTTGTTGCAAGTAATGTAAATCGAAAAGTTGGTTCAATGCGAAAATAAATGAAGGAATGCTGAAAATAAAATAAAAAAACAGTCAATGCAGGTAAAACAGAGGCCGAACACTTGCCATTTGAATGCTCAATAGAGACAGATTCATCATTCCCGCTGACACACAATCAATATCGGCATCTGCATCTGAGGCGGTGCCGGCTTCGGCGACTTTGCCAATCGCACAGTAGCAGTTTCAGTTGTCATACGATTTGAACGATTGCCTCGCGGCCAAGCCACACACAGAGCGTGGCAGCCAACCAAACAATGGACCCACAATTATTGCCAAATGTCATACATTCAGCAACGCACCCACGCCAAAAGTATCTCACAGATCACAAAAGTATCTCGCTCGGCAAGTATCTTGGCGATTGCCTGCTCCCAACAACAGTGGCAACAACTTTGTCTGTATTGTTCGCGTCCACAACCTTGTCTGGCTATGATGCCGCATAATTTCAGTGCTCGCACACGCGGCGTATACGCAACACGGCTGAAACCTCTTTGATTTCGACCGCCAGCAAGCCTAGCACTCGCAGCAAATTAACAAAAAGTCATGCATTCGGAAATGGAGTTTCCCTTTTTGTCTTCTATTTTGGCCGTGCGAAAATGTTTTTGTCAGCTTCCCACTCGGCCTCACATATTAGTGCTATGCCGAGTCTCTTTTTCTCATGAATATTAATTTTGGGAGTTGGTTTGGAGATGGGTTCTTTCTTATTAGTGTAGGCAAACAGCGGCTGTTGGATTTGGATTGCCTCGGTAATTGAATCACAGTTGAGAAATAAACTTTTAATGAAGCGTGATCTCTAAGTTGAACCATTGTACCCTAACAGTCACAAAATATCTGCCTTTAAGTCGCTTGAAGGCAAAGTCACAAGAATCAATTTCCACAGACTGAGCAAGACACGAGTACCTGAGCCCCAAGGCATTCCCCATTTAGCCCAAGGCCATTGCTTTGGAGAGGGCGTCTTTCCAGATAGGAATGCAAACAAAATGCGTGTCTACGCTAAGTTGAAGGTGGAACAAGGGAGGTCGGAACAAAGCGCAGTTTGTGGGCTTGAAAACATTTTGCATTCTGCTTTCCTCTCGGATTCATTCAGCGCATTTCAATTGAGATGAAATAGTGCAATGAAAATCTATTTTTGCGACGCACAAAAACAAGGTTTCAGGAAACAGTTTGTTGTCTGTTTACGATGTTCACAATCAACTTGGACTCGCAGCAATCCCACCCACCCTAAACCTTAGATCCCGGCTCCAAGGCGCATAACTCCAAATCAAGAGTTAATAAAATAAACAATCATAATGGAGTTTCAGTCTAAGCCCACTCGGAGGTATCAGCTCTGCCAAGCAGGAATATAATTGCAAACTCAATTCGGTTTTCTGGAGGCGGAGCTAAGCAAAATTGCAGCCATGCTATGAAAACTCACTGAGTTTTCTCTCTCGTTTTTAGTGTCCCGGTACTGCTCTAGCACACAGGGGCACGGTAAGCTGCTGCTCTGCTCTAACCACTGACAACGCTCTCGTGCGATCACCGCCTCTCGCTCTTGCTTCGACTGGCTGCCGGCCTGCACTTCCACCCTCGCCCGCACTGCTTCTCCTTCTCCGCCGACCAAAACTAGTTTTCTTGGCTCTGAGAATCTCACGGATTCGTTTTAGTCTTGTGGCTGACCGTTTCAAAATCAGTTTCGAGCTGTCAAGCAAACGAGCAGCATCACTTCAGCAGAGTTGGGTCCAATTTTATATTTCTCCGAGAACACTCTTACTTTGTAGACTTTCGGGTTTTGTGACTAGTGTAAACTAAAACGTTAAAGTTAAAAAGTGTTGAATAAGACTCCGGAAAATCTCCTCAACGGATAACCGAAAAGATATGGCTGTTTCGGCTCTCAACATGACACCCTACTTTGCTGGATATCCCTTCCAAGGTAAGTACCAATTGCAGATAGTAGATCACAAACAGACCACAACGAGCATTACCAATTACCACAATTACGAGTACAAAACGCTGGGACATAGAAAAGTGCTGGCTCATCATTTGGGGCAGCGCTTTCGCCCGCTGTTTTCAAACGAGAGATCATTACCCGTTCGGCAGCATGATCAGCTTTTTGACTTATTGATTGTGATCGGCAACTTGGCCGGCCAGACCCAGACTCATAGCCAGAGCCCGAGCCAGCCGCATCCAGCTTCCAGTGCGGACTTTGCAGACATTTTGGCGCGTCTTGCCAGCTCATGTCTCGACCGGGCCCGTCTCGTCTCGTCTCTTTCCCTGGCGGCTTTTGAGGCGCTGGGCTTTGATCTTGGTGCGGATCAGTGTCTGCGCTCAAGCTCGGGGTCTTGTGTAGCACGTAGCTGAGTAACGTCAGCGCCCCGAACAACAGAACCCGTGCATGGACTGGGGTTTCATTTCTCTTTTCGGCTGTTTTGGGGCCGTCTTTCATACGTACACACTTGTATTAGCTGGCACAGCTGGACGTCTGCAGCGCTTATGGATTATTAGTTTGATTTGATTGCATGAGGCAACCCGGCATGCAGATGCGTTGGCATCTCCGTTCCCCGGCGCGATCGACATTTTTCCTCCGCACCCGCTAGCAAGAGTATTTCCATCCTATAGAAAAGGCCTTCGCAAATAGGCAATTTGCGTTTTGTTATGTCTACAAATGGCCATCGAATCGTTTGTACCTATCTGCCACAAAAGATCGTGCGGGTTGATCCTCGAGATTATCTAGCTTAGTGCATTTCGAATGCAATACAGTGAAGTGGTCAATTCTGCCTAACTAGATTACTTGCTTCCGCTCAATCGAGCACAGAAAATAGGTTGATTGAAAGAACGACCCAAAAACAAGAACGATCCACAGCCAACACTACGTGAACCTAGTCCTTAATTCGATAGGACTACAATGGATGGACCTAAAGAACAAATATTAGCTTACCAATTTACTTATCATGTTCGTTTCTTTTTTGCTTTTAGGACAAGGTCGCGTCAACCAACTAGGTGGCGTCTTTATTAACGGGCGTCCATTGCCCAACCACATCCGTCGCCAAATTGTAGAGATGGCAGCTGCTGGGGTTCGTCCCTGCGTCATCTCCCGCCAGTTGCGCGTCTCCCACGGCTGCGTTTCTAAGATTCTTAACCGCTTCCAGGAGACTGGCTCCATTCGCCCAGGAGTGATCGGCGGCAGCAAGCCCCGCGTGGCCACGCCCGACATCGAGTCCAGGATCGAGGAACTGAAGCAGACGCAGCCCGGAATCTTCAGCTGGGAGATTCGTGCCAAGCTAATCGAGGCCGGAGTCTGTGACAAGCAGAACGCCCCGTCTGTGAGCTCTATTTCACGCCTCTTGCGAGGATCCTCCGGGTCGGGAACCTCCCACAGCATCGACGGTATCCTCGGTGGAGGCGCTGGCTCGGCTGGCAGCGAAGAGGAGAGCGAGGACGATGCAGAACCCAGTGTACAGCTAAAGAGGAAACAGAGACGTTCACGCACCACCTTCTCCAACGACCAGATCGATGCTCTGGAGCGCATCTTCGCCCGTACACAGTACCCTGATGTTTATACCCGCGAGGAACTAGCCCAGAGTACCGGATTGACAGAGGCCCGCGTCCAAGTCTGGTTCTCTAATCGCCGTGCTCGTCTACGCAAGCAACTGAACACCCAGCAGGTTTCCAGCTTCGCCCCAACGGCTGCATCCTACGGCGCCCCTGCCGCCGCCAGCTCTAACCCAGCTTCAAATATGGGCATTGGCCTGTACGGTTCCCAGACCTGGCCAGCATCCGGAACTACTTATGAGAATCACACCGGCTATGGTGGCTCACTGGCATCCATGTCCCCAGCCAGCAGCACCTCTGGCAGCAGCTCCGCCGACCACAGTCCCGTGCAGACGCAAGCCCAGCAGTCGGGAGTCGGACACGAGTTCATAAACTCCTCCTACGGCGTAGGATCGGGCAGTGCTGCCTACCAATCCACCGGGTCAGCCGTCTACACCATGCCCCCGACTGCCGCTACATCCGCGGAGCAGCTTAGATCCCAGTTTGCATCCGCCGCCGCCTCGGGCTCCCACCACCCCTCGACGTGGGACAGCTACAACTTTTCTGGATCGTTCCTTCCCCCCACCGCTGCCGCAGGCAACCATATCGGCAGCTACCATCATCAGGTCGATCAAAAGAGCGCTATGATGACCACTGCTCCCACCTATCCATATTTCGGATTCTGAGCGGATAGTAGAGCGCTAGTAGCAACAAATCGACATTTAAGCCCCCTGAGACTGTTTGAAATTATTTTAAATACTTTAAGACTCATGTTCTGAATAGATGTAAGATAAAAGAGCGATAAAGAAATAAATAAATGTTAAAATTTAAACTTAAAACAAAACTTGTTTTATTAATAAAGGTGTTTTTTTAAGGCATTTAAATTTCATTTGGCACTAAAAAAGTTTTTCTTATGAATGCACAACATTGAGTAAAAATATAACACAGTCGAGTTTGATTCAAGAGCTATTGTCTTTACGATACCAGAATTATTGCAATCCAAAAAGTTATTATTATCCTCAAATTGAGATTTTTGGTTTAGGGCGCAGTAATAGGTATAGTTGCTCGGCCACTTTTGAAAATATCCCACTAGCTCAGCGAAAAGTTTAACTTGCCTAGACAAGTTTAAATACAGATAAGTACTGTATATATATCACACACAAACTGTGAGCAATTCAGAAACCAAAAATAATATAAGACATTTTTTTTTTTTTTTTTTTGAAATTTGCCTGTTTTTTTAAGAAAGGGCTCTTTAAACTTTTTTTTATTTATTTAAAGCTATAGCTTTTGTGAAAAAAGCCATATTTCCATTTAAAATAGCTGCATGTCAATGGGTATATATTTAATATATATTTCATATATGTTATATTATTTTATAGTACATTACGTTATAAAATTCACACAAAGAAGAAAATCTCTCACGCTTCATTAAACTAATGGCATTGTTTCTAAGGTCTAAGACCACACAGATGGACTAATTTTTGGTGATGTCCCTGCGGCAAGCGGCACGTAACAGGTTCACAAGCATAAGCAACTAATCCCTCAAAAAGTACAGAAACTGTTCCCTAAAATGACAAGCCGACAATGTAAGAAGTACTAATAGGTCGGTCGCCCAAACATTCCTTTTAGCCTTGTAGCGAGGATGGAGAACTGGGTCTGGATGAAGGCGCTCTCGTGACATATCCAGACAACGAGCCGACTCATGATCTGACAATTAAACAATTAGACACAAAAACGACTAACACGTACTGCAGATTCGATAATACGAAAATAATTTAGGAGCTGTGCATTGTTCAGGGGCCCACACACATCGCAGCAAAATAGAGCAATTGACAAAGGACATGCGCAAAATATGAGGAGTGGTGGGATCCTGCGACCACCAACGTCACTGCGGACTTTCAAGATGCCGCCAAAAGATGGGCTCACCAAAGATGAGACGATCCGAAAAGGCAGCAACGTGTACATGGGAGTGAACAAAGCCATTGACAAAATGACAGGGAGGGACAGAAGGACTCATACTTGTACGACCAGGCTTCTCCTCACCCACTAGTTACCGATGTTCGGAGTCTTGGGTGGTGCGGCCGATACAGCCGTATACAGAACCATCTCGGACCCCAGCGATCGGTGTATCTCTTTAGGTCCTTCCCGCTGCTCTCAATTATGTGTGCTCAGCGGGCGTCGCACTTACCACCTAGAATGAAAACGTTCTCTGCCCGTCAGAGCGCCCAAATGAAAACATCAATTAGCTCATATCGCCGGCCCTTGCCTGTTACGACGACAGGTTCGGGGGCGACAGGATCGAGGGCGATAATGTGTGTCAACTGTGACCATCATAATTGATCGCATCTTGTCCTGGGGACTTCTTTCCTGCCGAGGACAGTTGTCTGTTTCCACTTTGTCATTTCCATGCCATACAGTAGCCTGCGGCTTCGTTTGTCCTGACTTCTTTTATCCTGGACTGGGCCCACCAGCTTCGATTTTTTTATACAGTTTTAATTTGAGTGGCCAGCGGAGAACTGAGATACACAGCGGCCTATTTGACAAGGCTGTTTAAAGGCCTTTCCGACCCTAAAAAGAATTCCGTGATTTATGCGTTTTTGATAGGCGGGCCTAGTCAGTGCGATTTTTTTCAGCCTCTTCATCTTAACCCACACTTCCTGTGTGGCCAATTTGACTGAAGGTGTAGAGGCTTAGTTAGTTACGTTTCGGGTTTAGGTTCGTGATGGTATCCTGTTCTTTGATTTTGTGTCGCGGCCAGACCACATCATCCATATCCAAATTACTCAGTTTCAATTGAAAATGCAACCGTTAATTTGCTCCCATCTGCCGTGGGAATCCAATAACCCGGAGCAAAACAACCGTATGCTGAGGAATTAATTTACAACTTTCAAGTGTTGCCGTTTTGGGCATGTTCCGCTAATTTTTCACACACTCATTCGCTTGTTCCGAACCACACGCCAAAAAATATTTATCATATATTCATTAAAGATTATTAACGTATTTAAATAGCGCAGCCGAGGAGGAACAACAACCGTCCATGCTCATGTTAATGTTCATGGAAGCGGTGAGCAGCGAGCGTTGATAAAACATCAAAACCAATCTGATAAGGAACGCTTTAAATTCCGTTACGTAACGCAAATTTAGAGCGTATCTCTGTTTTGTGTGGTAATAAGAGGGCTCGTTCTGACTTCCCACTACATTTGGATGCGGTTCGTCTTCGTCTGGGAGGGTTCAATTTTACTGTTTCTCGCGTGCCCTTTTTTTCCAAAACCGCTGCAAGGCAATTACGCATGAATTTTGATCGATTCGCCGGTTGTTTTTCTTAAGCTTGTAAGCGCTTTGTCCTTACTATACTTTACCCAGCGCGATATGCGAGTGCGTCGTCCATTTGAAAGAACTTTTTGACAGGTTAGGAATCAAAATTTTCCGTTATGCACTTAATGCCGACACTTATAAACCTTCTAATAATATGCCTCCTACAATGTCTTCATACGGCACTAAAAGCAGCTCCATCGATACTCCAAGGTCCCCAGGCGACGATCGCTTCCACAAAGTCTGCAATCCACAATCGATGACGTCGGTGGAGAAGCTGCAGCGGGAGCCGCAACTAAATAACATTATAATTCAATAAGGAACCCCTCCAGACCGGGAGGAGTCCCGGTGATCGGCTGAGTAATGGCGATGCAGCTGCGAGTTGATTTCGATGCTGGTGCCGACTTGTACAATTGGACCAGCGATGAGCGGCAGCAGCCAGGCTGTCTGCACCGGCTATGCGAACAAATTGTTGTTATTGCCGCCGATGCTTGGCCAGCAATTGCAGAAATCATCAGAGGGGCCTGCAACGTGTAATTTCCATCTCTGATGGTGCCAGTTTGAACCAAGTTCGGAGCGCAAGGGAGCGGTGGAGCCGTCGGCGACCTTCTTTGTGCTCGGCACTCGGTCGTTTTAAGCAAGCGTAAAAATATGCGAAAACGTCAGTCGAGTGATTTGAAAATGTGGATTGCAGAAATGTGATTACAACGGAGTTTGATAATTTATTAAGACAGGCTTTTCGATGATCATCGAAGGCGATCAGTGATCTGGACCCAATGTTATGGTTTGATCAGGTTCCACAAATTGAATGTTATTTTGTAAAATGCGCGCACGTAGTTAGTATCAGTGCAGCGTGCTATGACGGAAGATGTCTCAGGTGATCAGAGGATTGGATTGAACTGGACCGTGGCCAGGGTGGAGAGGACTGCGGGTTCGACTTGGCATAGCGCGCGAAGATTCTTTGATCTTTTTACGCTCATTTGCCGGCGCACACAGTCACTGACACCCGATGATCTTTAGCATATTTTACGCTCAACTTGTGATCAAACCGTAACTTTGGTGTCGTACCTGCTCTAAGCTTGCGGGATCGAGGAAGCAGCCTCCAGGGCGGATGACTCATGGAACATTGGCTGTACCATCCATCAGGTAACTAGCCATACGACGATATATTTGCATACTCGCACTCGCATTGCTTGGGAAAGTTGGCGATGAACTGGGTTTTGGCTTGGGTGCTGGCGATGGAGATGGTTTACAATGCTTCTTGTTGCCGTTGTGTCTGCGCCATTTTCTGTACACCTTTTTTCCCTTGGCTTATATTTTATTATTTTTATCTTTATTGCCATTGTTATTGTGCACGTTGGCAACGTTTTTATCTGTTATTTTCTAGCCTGCATAGCTTTGTGCTTCGCTTTGATCTTTCGCCGACCCGCCAACTGACATTTGTAATTGTAATTCCAGCCGTATTGTGCTCTTACCGAGTCGGGCCCGAGTACTTAGATTCGTACATCGCCTACTTTTCTATTGGAACAAAAATGCGAGACAAGATTTGTTATTATGTCAATTGTCGGTAATTTGTACTGATTAGAAAGATGCTAATAAAGCAGAAATTTTCTCTCCTGGAATTAAATATATTCCAACAGTTTCCCAAAACGTTAGGTATTACTTAAAGTTTGGCTCAATGTCCATAACGCTTTGAACGAAAGGAAAAACTAATTTCCACGGCTAGCATTTCTGTCCTCGCCGCGTTTGCAGTCTATACAAACAACCCAATCATTTAAATGAATTATATTTCGCACCACTGAATGTGGTTCCCATGTGAGGGAAAGGTCGAAAGGGAGCTATATGGAAAAGGATACCGCAGTTGAGGCCAGTCGCTATCGGTATAGTGTGAGCGTATACATATCCGGGAGCGGCGCAAAGGGATGTGGGTATGGGCCCAACATCACTACCATCTCATAGTTGATAGGCGCTCAAATTGGCGTGAAGCGTGCAGAAATCACGGGAAATAGACAAAGACAGGAGCATTATTTTTCAACAGATCTAAAATGAAACATTTTTTGACACTTTTTTTTCGCTGCCATTCTCTACACGGCAGCTGCCCTGCGCTGATCCTGGCCATGGAAAGCGCTGTGCCGAAGGGACGTCAAGGCAGGCCGTGTGTCCAAGTGTCAGGAAGGGCGATGTGACGGGAGGGCATGCAGCTTGCTTAGCGGAAAGATGGATTATTTTCACGCTTATTTCGAAATGCTCGGTGGATGTTTGCTTTTGGAGGTTATAAACGCTTGGTGCGACCGAGTCTAGTCTAAAGTTGTTTCGAGCTCAACGTCCCTTCCCATTGAGGGTTGAAATATCTACACTTCCTCTTCTCCGCGCGACAGCCATCTTTGAGTTGCAACAATAGTTGCCAAAAAGGAAAGTTGTGAAAACGGTGCCCATATCTACTCTAATGAAGTTTAATAATTTTGTTGTAATATTTCGGAATT